CTGTGAACAGCCCTATCATTTGGTGACAGAAAGTTGAAAAGATTGAGATGTGTGAAGAAAGATCCGAAAAGACCAAAATCACTGACTTTTGAAAAGCTTCAGATTCAAATGAAGCTTTTGTGTCTTTTCGGCTAAATAGTCTTTAAATGCGTTTCTAAAAGCCCCGTGAATCAAGCCACTTACCACGACAACTCTAAAGTTCAAGTTTCAGAAATTTACCCTTTTCCATTTGGTAGGGCTGTTCATAACAAGACCCAAACCGACCAACCCGGTTTGATCCAAGTCGAGTTGGCCGGTTTTTCTTCAGCATCGGTCGGTTTTGGGTTACAAAAAAAACATAAACTAATGGTTCAGTTTAGTTTCGGTTTTCATGTGTGAAAACCGAAATCGAATCGACCCGAACTGACTTAGATATATATTACATGAAAACCGAAATCGAATCGAGCCGAACTGACTTATATATATAATATTTCAGATATTATATATATTTCAGCTTTATTTCAGAAATATACATATTATATATAAAATTTTTGATATATAAAATATCAGTTTTAATCCATCAAATCATTTTTAATTTTCAGGCATCCGGCCTTTGCTTTCTTAGACTTGAATCTTTTACAGTTCACACCGAGAGAATCATTCACAAAATCGACCGACCCAAACCGATTCAAACCTACCAGGTCGGTTTTACTTAGTATTGGGTCGGTTTCGGTTTCATTTCTAGGTAAATCAATCGGGTCAGGTCGGTTGGAAAAACGCTAGTAAACCRACCTAACTCGACCTGTGAACAGCCCTATCATTTGGTGACAGAAAGTTGAAAAGATTGAGATGTGTGAAGAAAGATCCGAAAAGACCAAAATCACTGACTTTTGAAAAACTTCAGATTCAAATGAAGCTTTTGTGTCTTTCCGGCTAAATAGTCTTTAAATGCGTTTCTAAAACCCCCGTGAATCAAGCCACTTACCAAGACAACTCCAAAATTCAGTTTTTTTTGGGGGATTGTCACAATATCCTCCTGCATGCTTAAATATGTCACTTTGTCCCACATGACATTTCATACTTTCATAGGGGTATTTCCATTTAGATAGATGTTCACCACTTGTTTTTAGCACATATACTCTTCGGTTTTTGAAGAAAAAAAGTCTTCGGTTTTTGAAGATTTAGGCATAAAATTTATCCACTCTTTTGATTCTTAGAATTGTTGGAAGATCTTCCTAAAAGATTTGTCAAATGACACCTTACTTCCTCAAGAGAAGATTAGAACAATCCTCAATTTTACTTCTAATGCCTTCATAACCTTACCCAATGGCTATGAAATAAAAACATCTATATATAAACCAGATACTTGTCTTGTGTATCATGCCCCCAATTTTGCTTTTCATGCATACCAATGGTTTGATCGGCTGGGTCGAATGGTTCAGACCGTGCCATGTCATCAAATATATGTATTAAGTGTATTATATGTATATAAATATATATATATATATATATATATATATATATATATTATCAATAAATAATGTATAAATATGTTTTAGATATATGTATTTTTATATTTAATTTTTATTTATAAAAAATATTAAAATTTGCAATTTGAGGCAAAAAGTTCTTTTCTTTGGTGAAAATAGCGGGGCAAGGTGCCTATGGCGCCTTGGGACGTATAGGTCTCGAAAAGTTACCTAAAATAAAAAAAAATCACCTCAATTGGACATTGGAGTGCAAAGTTATGGCCTTTGAAAGTTTGCTTACATTGAGTGTGCAACCCGCAACCCGGTGACCGGTTTGAACAGGTCAATGATTGAACCGGATGGGTCAAATGGTTATTGACCAAGTCAACGGTTTTGACAGTTTGTCGGGTCTTGATTGAATTGGACACAAAATCTTGACTAGGTGACGGTTCGAATGGTTTGATCAATCGAATCAACAATGGGTTGAAAACATTGATGCATACTAATCTTACTACTAATGTTTTCGAACTACCGTTGACCCTGATGGTCGGACTGTTAGGCTTGGGAACCGTCTAGGCAATTAGTTTTGTTTTACCCCAAACTTAGTCCTTGACAAAAAAACTGTTGAAGAATTGGTCAATGACCCATTAACCTAATTAATCGAACCGTCAACACATTTAATCCATTTAATGATTTTGATCTTTTTTTTATTTTAATTATTTTTTATTTTTTATTAAAATAGGCTATCCATTCAAACCGTTAATCCAAAAATCGGTGGGCCAAAATGATTCCAGTTCATGGTCGGTTTTTAAAACTTGCTAACTGCATATAAAGTGGATAGTTGTCTTATGTTCCGTATAAATCATAAAACTTAAAATCTAAATATCATATACCATTCTATATGGTTAAATCAACTATATGATTAATAATTGATTGCACACGTGCATAGCACCACATGCTCTTACACTAATTAAGGCTGTGTTTGGTTTGTTACATGACGTGCCACTCTCCCAGCATTTTCCTTCCTGTTTCTAGCTTTTCTTTCCATCCAAGCACAGCCTAATTACCGGTGCTATCTGCGTACAGGCTGTCCAATCATCTTACTTGTATATTAGACTTGTTCATGGGCCGGGCCGGGCTTTTACTGTGTATTAACAAATTTTTTTAAGGCCCAAGCCCGAGCCCGGCCTGACCATCGGGCCTACAATTTGGGCCCGAGCTCGGTCCTCATAAAAAGCCCGAAGCCCGAGCCTGGGCCCGGGCCCGAAATTTAGCCTATATTATTATTATTATTATTATTAATGTTGAAGCAGCTGAATAAAGAGAGAGATAGATTGAAATTATAAAATAAAGAATAAAATATATATATATATATATTAAATTATAAATATATATTTTAATAAATATTATATTATTTATATATTTTATATAATATATACAATACATATTATATATTTTATAAAATATATAATACTGAGTCGGGCCGGACCGGGCTCGGGCCGGGCTTTTTTGACAAATCCCGAGCCCGGCCCGAAACACAGTCGGGCTTACTGTGTTAAGCCCGAAGTCAGGCCCGCGGGCCTAATTATATGACCAAGCCCGGCCGGACCGTCGGGCTACCCGGCCCATGAACAGGTGTATTATATATGATTATATGAACACGTGTTCTTCGACTTTCTTGTTTCTCGGTTCTCAACGAATTCGTCCACTGCACTGCTATAGCAAGTCTGTGTATTCTGCAAGTGATCATGACTAGGCAAGGCCAATGGGCAATGGCTACGCCAATTGAAATTTGAACACAACGATGTTCTTATCGCTTGATCGAGTACTCTTTGAATATGTAGGGAAAGCGGTTCAAAAAGATGTCAACCATGGTCGGAGTTCGTACGGCCAAATCGATGAGTGGAGGTAGTGTTGTAATGGGTTGGATTTGGATAAATCTGTTATGCACGTGATTGGATAATGTAAATATGCATGAAAACTGAAAAGAAATGATATTACAAGAGCTTTGACCAATCAAGACATCTATAACATCATAAATATCACCTGATTGGTCACCTTGGCTTTTTATGGATAATATAAATAATTTTATGGTATGAATGCCATTTCTCTCTCCCCTCCCTTCAAATACGTGGCATCCTCAATTTAATTAGACAATACTCATTCACTCTTTGTAATTAGAAAACCTATTATAATAACAACGCTCAGTAATTAAATACTGACTATTGATAAAAATATAAAAAAATAATTATCACTATTACTAATTAAAAATAATATTAATCTTTAATTAAATAATTAAGTGAATATTACATTTTGATTAATCTTTAAATGTTTACAATAAAAATTTTGATTATAATAGTTATTATGATAATAAAATCATTAACTAAATACTTAATAATAACAACAATAATCAATGTTTTCAAAATTGGACCGAACCATATGGTCGTACTGGAAAAACGGAAATCGATTACTTGATCGGTTCTGTTTCACCCCAGAATCACTTTTTGGCAAAAAACCGCTGATCTGGGCAATTGAACCGTTGAAACCTTTGACCCAAACAACGGTTTTTGACTGTTTTTTTATTTTTTATTTTTTTGTCAGAACAGGCCACCTGTTCGGTTTAAACGATCGGACCATTCAACCTGGGAACCGGACCCCTGAACAGTCCGTTGTCCAATTCAGTTTTAAAAACCTTGATAATAATTAATTAACTAAATATTATAATACAAGTAATCTTAAAAAAAATAATAATAAAAAGTTAGACATTTTTTGCTTAAACAAAATAAAAATTATAAAAAAAATACTAACCCCGCATTAATACGGATTCATTCTTTAGTTTTAAGATAATAACAGACGGTCCTGGATTCATTCTCTAGTTTTAAGATAATAACAGACTGTCTTAGATAAATAATAAAATTATAATGCCTGTTGATGTGGTACTGTTTAAATAAAAAAAAAATTTAAAAAATTACATATGGATCTCACAAAAAATTCTCAACATCCACATATGACCAAAAAAAAAAAATTATTTTTGAAACTTTAGGGTCAACAATGCCAACCAAGTCTTTGAACCAATGTATTGCCACTAAAACCGATAACCAATCGACCAATCAATTAGTATCCATCTATCCAAAAAAACGTCAACTAGTATTCATCAAAATCCAACGGGGAGGGATTCTGATTGTACAAAATTCTTCGGGCATCATATGGAAATTGTCTTAAATTCGTTTCCCCACTTTATTTTTTTGAGCCCTTTCTTTTTTATTTTTTGGGCAAATTCATGTTTAAACTTTCGTTTTTTTTTGGGTAAAAGAAAACTTTCAAAATATTATTTCTTTTTGGCTTGATAAAATAGGCCATGGACTTTATCGTTGTGTTTTAAACATGGGATTCTTTGATGTGCTCAGTTTACTAAAACCAAGGTTCAAAATATTATCGATAGCTTTTTTTTTTTTAGTTTTTTTAATTTGGTTCAGAGGGACCGGTTTAAGGTCCGTTCATCTTCTGAATCGGTTGAGACTCTGAAACATTTCCTGTAGGGGTGTATTGGAAAGCCCCCAATATGATATGTATCAATCGTTATGGCTCAACACGTATCAAAATTTTAAACCTTGACTAAAACAGACGATGCACCCAAATTGCTACGAGGAAAGGCTAAATGACAAGGGTGTTGTGGAAAGGATGGCCTGAACCAAAAATTGTGCATGCTGAAGAAAACCAAGTTACATAGGCAGCTGGGCAACTAGGGTTCTAAAACTTCGTAGTCATGGGATTCTTTTTTATTTTGCTGTTTTGAGTTGAGTTCTTATTATCATGTTGTCCTCATAAGGCCAACTCTTTTCTTTTATCTTTATCATTTTTTTTCCCTAATTAGGATTAGATTATACACAGAAAACTGCTCAAAGGGTGAAATAATATTGACCTATTTGCTCACCCATCTATGAACTTGACAACTTCAACATATGCTTTCTTTATCACTAGGGGCCGTGCAATGTACGGAATTATCTGATATCCAATATGATGACAGAAGGGATTAAAAAATGTAAATGTTATATCCCCCGAAAAAAGTATTTTACCTAATAAAAATAGTTAAATAAATAATTGATTAATCAAAGATAATTAATTAATTAATTAATTAATATACTATTAATCTAGGATAATATGTTTACTAACAAATAGAGCAAGTCTTTATTAATGCCAAAGTTTTTTTCTCTTTTGTTTTTTAGCTCCAATCACTACTAATTTAAACTAAATCAATATATATGTGTGTGTGTTACCTAATTTATCTAATTCAATTATGTTAAATTTAGTTACTTAATTGATTTATTTTGAGTAAATCGGGTCCACTTAATATAATGATTAGTTTTGGATATATTATGTTTAGTAAAAGATAATTGATAGAAGATAGAGAGGGAATGGAATGATGTAATAAGAGAGAGATTTGTGTATATATTTTTTAAAAAGTAATTAATAGAAGAGAGAGAGGGAAGAGTGGGGGAAAGAGGATGAGTGTAATGACATGAAGAAAGAGATTTGTGTATACATTTGTTAAAAAATAATTAATAGAAGAAAGGGGGGAGAGAGCGGAAGAAAGAGATGTGGAGAGAGAGGGGGGGGGGAGAGATTAGGAAGATGTTTTAGGAGGAGTGATTCAATGAGATCACATCATTAATAAGATGATTAAAAAATAAGAGAAGAAGGAGAAAAGATGACTGCTGACTTGGCATTAAGAAGAGGGCTGGGAAGGAAAAAGCAAGGAAAGTGATAGAGTTAAGGAGAAAGAAGGGGGAAGAGAAGAAGCAAAGGATCAAAGTATTAATATCTGGTATCATATTAGACAATTTGGATATAGATACAAATACAAATATGCTTTGGAAACATATGAATACTGGATGAAAGACATGAAAACACTTGAATATGTTAAGGAAACACATATAATCACATAAATACATTAATAACACTAAATCTAAAGCTAAGTCATTTACGAATAAAGAACAAACACATGACAAATGCACACTTTAATGGGTTATATGAAGAGAAACATTACAATCAACAAATACCAAGACTCTAGAACATGTACACATCATACAATAATTATCATTCTATTTCAGTTTTTATAATTATTATTATTTTTTTAGAGAAAAATTATTTATTTAGTATTTTTATATAAATATTAGACCTGTTCTTTTAAATAATAAAATGTTTTCATTTTTAACATATAATTATACAATAAAACATATAAATCATTTAAGGTAGCTACAATAAATTATTTTTATAATTTTTAATTTATATTATTTTTTGTGGAAATTAAATCTTAAATTATTTATTTAATTTTTATAATTATAATTTTAAAATTTTATTGATTTTGGGAAACTTTATTTATTTAGTATTTTTATATAAATAATAACTCGATTTTTTCAAATAATAAACATGTTTTCATTTTTAACATAGAATTTGTATTATAAAACTTATAAACATATAAATCATTTAAGGTAGATAAAATAAACTACTTTTATAATTTTTAGTTTTTATTAAATTTTAGGGAAAATTAATTCTTAAATTATTTATTTCAGTTTTTTATAATACTAATTTTATTTCAACTTTTATAATTATAATTTTATTTCTTATTAAAGTCCAAAAATAGTCCAAAAGCAATCAATATATAGTCATGAAACCAGTCATTGATATGCTTTTTATAATGTTTTCCAGCAAAGAGACAAAAAGTATCACTGTTTTTTGTTTTTGTTTTTGCTTTTGCTTAACAGGGCGACTCAACGGGGTGGCCCATCCCCATCCCCTAAACCCCCCATTGGTGGCAATGGGATTTGATCCCATGGATATTGGTTTTGGTATAGATCATGAAAGTTAAATTTAATTATATAATATTACCTTATATCTTTATCCAGTTCATGACGTATGTCATTACACTATTAATATTAATTTAAAAAGGATTTTATTATATTATTACTACTTTAATAACAACAACATATAAGTACTAATGATTCGCAACAAAACAACAAGATATTGCTATTAATTTAACACATTATAAATATATAGTTGTTAGTTTTATCCAGGGGAGGCTACATGGCCCAGGGAATTCTGATGTGACATTATAATTTTGAAGCCCCAAATAAGTCCCTGAATTCCTCTCCTCATCTTATATTGATGGAAAAAATTTTGTTCAAATTAAAATGCGTACATAAATTTGTAACTACGTCATTTAATAAATTCTCTTTCATGGCCATTATAGGGGTCCTCCCATCTGATGAATGGTCCAGATTGGCCACGGGATTCATCCATGTGGCTAAAATGAAGTAGTTCATGTGTATAAGTAAACTTTTTATCTTTTTTAACTATTCAGTGAATATTTCTTTTATTTTTTTGTTTTTAGATCATCATGGAGATGGTTATTCTTTAGTGGAAGATGGTAAATACATGTAGGACATGAAAACCATTCGTATTCAATTTGGAACCAAGAACAAAGAATATGACAAGAAATTAATTTGAACATATAAGCATAAAACGATAAAAGATTGTGCAAAGCACGTCTTTTTAATATAAAAAGTTAAAAAGATTGGTATGATAAACCTGTATAATATATTAAATATATTCATATATATGAGGAAGGGGCTAATTAATTTAACACTTAACTAACATCTATTCGAGTTGAAATGAGTAAAAATCTAAATACAAATAATATTTTAAAATATTTAATATATGTATATATATTTTCAAAGTTTAAAATATAAATATAATATTTAATATTTTACAGTTTTTTTTGTCAAATTAATATATTACATTTAGGGTTGGGGTTGGGGTTGGGATGGGGACTCCACTCCCCATCTCTGATCGGGTATATGAGTTAATCCCCCTCCCCATCTTATAGCAATTTCAATAACGTAACTGACCTGATCAGGAAAATTGCCATCATCTACCCATGTATACACATCAGGCCTATACTATTGTTGATTTTTTAAATATAAAATTCAGATAATAATTAATAATACATATTGACTATTATGTTCCTGTCACTTAACTGATATGCTTAAAATAACTGAAAAAAAAATCAAAGAAAGAAAGCAGTTTGGGTTTGGGATGATATACAATTGAGAAAAGAAAGCAATGAAACTAAAAAAACTGAAATGCCATTTTGAAAAAGATTTTTATGATTCACTACCCCTTGAATTTTGATTCATTCCCCAATCCCCTCCACTGGACAATAAAAACCCTGCCATTTTTATAGATAGAATGATGATATATATATTCTTACAGGTACGCAGATCAAGTGGGTTGTACCATGATTAATCAATATCACAAGTTCACAACCCAATACTCGCCTCATATTACAACAGTATAAACTACTTTGTACTTTTCACATATGTCTCTCTCTTTCAGTCCTTCTGATACGAGCTTCTGATCTGCACTGTAGACTGTACTATACGAGCCCTGAATTCGCCTGAATAAGAAATAAACTAGGAATTACCGAATTAGGAAATAACGTTTTTTGGTATCATCGACAACAAAGTCTTTAATGGATCCAGAGCTCATCAAATCACCATCAACTCAACATCCTCACTTTATGGTGTTTTACCGAGTCTGAGTATAACGCAAGCATCTAGCTAATAACCAAATCGTGGGTAAACGTAAACCCTAACTTTGTTCATGACGGATAGTCCGCCCAGCCCTTTGTCGGACCACCACATTGACATTGAACCCCCCGGCCATGTGTGCCGTGAGCAGAGGCACAAAAACCGGCTTCCGCTCCGAAGCCACCGGCCTCAGTTCAAACCGCCTCAATATCGACGCCACCACATACTTCATCTGAATAAAAGCCATCTCCTTCCCCAAGCACACCCTCGGCCCCGCTTGAAACACCGGGAACTTGTACGGGGATACCTCCTTCAGAGCTCCGCCTTCCTTGTCCGGCTCCAGAAACCAGCGGTCTGGCTTGAACTCCAATCGATCCTTTCCCCACAAGCTTTCCATCCTCCCCATCCCATACGGAAAGTATGTCACCCTGTCCCCAACTCCGACCTTCGTGCCATCCGGCAGGGTGTCAGCCCGGACGGAGTGCTTCGAGTCCCAGGCCACCGGAGGATAAAGCCTCATGGACTCGCAGAGGCAAGCTTTCAACAATGGCAAGTCTTTCAGAGCTTCGTAATCCAATGATTTCGGCTCGTCGTTGCCAAGTGCCGTGACTACTTCCTTCACCACCTCTTTTTCAGTATTGGGGTGTCGGGAAAGCGACCAGAAGAGCCACGTCATTGCCGCCGATGTTGTGTCCCTTCCCGCCATTATGAAGCTTATGACCATGTCTCTGGTCACATCGTCGTCGTGCCCGGCTGATATTAGCCTCGACAAGAGATCTCCGTTGTCGTGTTCTCCTCTGCTTTCTCCCGCAGAAATCTTCTTCTTCTTGTCTCGAATTATCTCCTCAACGGATCTGTGTACGTCTTCGATAGCTTGCTTGAGTTGCCACTCGGAGCCCATGCGCAACAGTCGCTTAATCTTCCAGACGGCAAAAACAGGCGCCGCTGCGCGTCTGGCGCTTATCTCTGACGCTACGTCGAATGCTCTCGCCAAAGGCGATATGGTCAGTGAGGCGTCCAAGCAACCAGGGTCCATCCCTAACGACACCTTGCAAACCGTGTCGAACGCGAACCTCCTTAGCAGCTCCTGCATGTCGACCACCTTATTATTCGCCGAAGCCGACTCCAATAAGGGCAGCAGCCGCTCTTCCACCTCTTCCACCAGCGTCTTCACCACGAACTCCCGCAGGGATTTGGTCGTGAACTCATGGCTCACTAACTTTCGCTGAGTTCGCCATAGCTCCCCATCCACATTGAATATGCCGTAGCCCAGAAGGTCGCCGAGGATCTCAGTGAAAGGCTTACCTTTAGGGAAATTAGAGAAGTTGGTTCTGAGCATGTATTCAACGTTGTCGGGGTTTGCTGTAATGACAGTCCGCCGTGCACCTAGGCGTTGCACCACGATCGTTTTCGCGGGTGACTGGGCCAAGAGCTCAGTGTACCAGTCCAAGAGCCGGAAGCGGTTCTTGTAGAATGAGATCAGGCACCCAATAAATGGGTAGGAAGCCGGACCATGTCTGGAAAACATACCGGCGCATTGGTAATAGAGTCCATGAAAGAAAAATAAGAAGAAGACTACCCACGAGAAAAGCAGAATTCCTTGCAAGAACATTATAAAGAGAGGGAGGAACATGACTAGTTGTTGTTTCAGGAAGAGGGAGATACACAGATAAGAATAGAAAGAGAAAGAAAGAGAAAGAAAGAGAAAGAAAGAGGGATTTCTAGACTTGAGGAGGAGAGAGAGAGAGAGATTGCTGATACTTGAGGCGGATGGGCTGTGCAAGCTTTCCAGGAGGTTAAGATATATAGAATGGGTAGACCGACCATTTCACAATTTTCTTTTGGGCGAGGAAAAAAATAAAAAGAGAGAAAAAAAAAAGGTCTTCAGGGCTGACTTTTTTGTTTGATTGAACGCTCTGAGGTCAGATCGTCTGTCCCTTGACAGAATCCCAATGGAAATCAAACACGTCATTGGTCCCACTTAATATTTCAAACTGACGGAGTTCGGAATTAACGCCAACCTACTTCCATTCTTTTTATTTTCATTTCTCTCCTGCGTTGTATACTTGTATTCCACTTTACCAAACAGGCAGACATGCTACAACCATCGACATTCATCTCTAGTCATTGAGAACACAAAGAAGCACCCGGAGGCGGCTTTTCTAAATCTAATAGATCCTAAGGAAAACAATTGGTTTCAGATATTCCGATCTATTTATCACATGATGAAGGAAGTAAACGATGTAACCAAACGAAATAATGAAACAAGTGAAAGCAACTGAGTGTCATTTCTATCTTACCATGTTTCTATTTCCAAATTCCAATTTCCAGGTGCTCTGTGGTTTATTGCAGGGCACGCAGTGACTCTACATAATTGAAATGTATGAAAAAACTATGTACCTTTGAAAAAGCTAATGGCTCCTCATCCTGTTGCCACTTGATAAAACATCTTGTTAGCTTTTATCTTACATAGTAGTTCTCTATTGTTGTACCAGGAAGGCAAGAACTATTATTGGATTCCAGCATATATGCTCTATTAATGTTTTTCCTTGTGATGAAATGATTTTTTACTTCTCTTTCTTACTAGAGAAGTGATATATGCACCCTACAAACAGATTAAAAATAAAAGATGGTAAATCATATGGATTTTGTTTCTTTATTTTTAAGTGAAAAGAGGAAGTTCTAGGTTTTGGAAGTCGATGAGGATGAAGAGGATCCCCTATTTCATACATACAGTAATAGATTAATGAACTTGGGGAGTTGAGAACTTAGTGAAGCTTGTAAGACAAATTCCATGCATTTCTATCACCTGAAAAAGATTCACGCCTAATCCATGGTAATGGAGATTTTGCTTCCCATTTCAACTTTTTTGTTTTTTTATTGAAAGAAAATCGATACTTGGAATTTATGAAATTAATTTTTCTGTGTGGATGAATCCCATTGTCATTTCAACTATCCAGATATAGCATTCAACCATGTCTTCGTTCTTCTCGAGCTGAAGATTATTTACCGGTGGAGGAATCTATTGTCATTTCAGACGAGAAGATTATTGACGGTGAACCTGAACATTAGTAGAGGAAAGGCAGAACTGAAAATCGGTGGTTATGGCATGTTCGGTTGAACGAGAGAGAAATGAGATAGAGCGGAGGAGAGAAATGAAAATAAAAAGAATGGAGGTGGGTTGGGTGCTTAAACGAAAACAAAAAGAAATTTGAAGTCCCACAGGCCTTAAGTCTTAAATTCCGTCAATTTGAAATGGTAAATGAGACCAATGACGTGTTCAATTAATATCGGTGGGGACAGAAAATTTTCTATCCGACAGACGATCTGAACTCTGGGGCTCTGCGCTTCTGGTTCTGGCTTTCCGAGGTGGGCCTCTAGTTACCTATGCTTTGGTGAAAACTGAAAAATCCGGAGAGCCCAAATCGGCATTTGTAAGGGCTCTCGCTGTCCGTGTTTACAGTTCATTAAGTCGACATTTCTGGCAATACACAACATTAATTGTGAACATTCTCTGGCTCGGAACTTCATTCAGACAACAAGCTTACTGTAATTAATTCGTTTTCTCTTTCCAAACTTCCCCATTTCAATGAACTTCATTCCTTTTGTCTGGCACAGGAACAGCTTAAACCAGCCAAATTAATACTAATCGTTAATACTAATGTCGCAAGATCAAGGGAGGGAGGAGTAAAACTGTGAAAGTAGCGAGGTATATTGAAGAGGAAGAAACCTTTGAGCGCTTTTGGTGGAATATTGAGCTTCCAAAACTCCCAATTGTCGACATTAATGGGGGTGCTACAGTATCATTATCGTTTAACCTTTCAGTCCAAACCAACTTGGTAGAGTTTTCTTCCCTCTCTTTCTTAATTTCTTGGTATAACTGTCGGCGACCAAGAGACCCACTGATTAGTGGATTTTCAATCTTTGATTCATTCGCAATTTGCAAACGTGTGGGCGTATGTGCGTTCTTGCGCGTGTTCTGTCCGTGTTCAATTCCTTTGGCTAGTAGCTGGTTGCTAACTGCCAACTGGTTCGAGTCCCACCTGCACGAGGGTTGAAAAAAACCTGTCATATTCAAATCTGAATAAACTCATTGTCAACACAGGCACAACGTGGATATATACACTTTATACAGTGGTGTATTTTGACGATTGATGCTGCTTATAAAGTTTTCAGTCCAATCAAGAAATCATGATCACTTAATGTTTGCTTAGGTGGGGTGTGTCTTCTGTCTTGGGTCTATGGCCACACCAACTTGCCACGTGCTTATTTAATATTTCAAGAAATGGAAGTTTAGACTGAGAAAGTAGAAACCCAAACCCACTGTTGAATTATGAATCCCCAGTAGAACTGACGTGGAAGCTGAAGCAGCCATAGACGAAACGGCGGGTTAAGTTAAAACTAAGGTGAATTGAGTAAATAAAATGCAGCACATGGTGGAGGTAGTAATGACAAATCCTTCCAAAACCACTCATATTTGGGGAATGCTTATCCCTTTCTTTTGTGTTTCCACACGAGAGAGCGAGAGAGAGAGAGAGAGAGAGAGAGAGCCCGCTGTCTTGTTCTTGTAGGTTTTGCCAATGTTGACACCTTCCCAATCCAAGGACTGCAGTTGCGATCGTAAAATATTTTCCCTTCATTAATTTTTGAGTAACAGAAGAAGAAATTCAATTAAATATCTCGATCAGAAAAAATCGGCGCCGTCCCCTTTTAGGCAAGGGAAGATAACGACGATACAAAGGGGAAGGAATCAACCGAGCCTTTGGCACGAAGGAAGGATCAGTCCTGGACATTTTGTTCACTGTCGACACCATTATCGTGCAATGGGTTTTTGGTTTTGGACAAGCAAAACCCGATAGGCTGTCCACCGTCCAAAAGGACGGTCCAAAACCAAAACGTCGAGTGAGTGGTCTTGAATCGAACCACAAAAACGATCAAACAGACAAACACAGTCAGGTCCTATCTCAATCGAATCCCACTTTTTTTTTACCAGCATGTGGGCTTTATAATCGAAATTCCTCCCCATAAAAAAATTGAATTTTGCTTTCCGCTTTTACTCATGATCATGGATGAATATACATGTAACAGGATCAAACGAAAGATGCTGTTTGGCTCCTCTCAGCATTTCTTTTCAGCGCATACGAAAGGGAAGGCGATGGAGCTAGCTGCATGCGTTGCGCGCCGCTCTTTGAGGACATGCACGCACAGTGTTTGTGAAAAGTGTCAATTGGGTTGCTATAGACGTAAGCTTGCTTTCCATCTTATCTGGGGATTCTAATTCTTGCTCGGGATGAGGAAGAAAAAGGAGGTGATCGTAATTTCCATCCATACTGATTAAAACATCTCGGTTTGCTGCATGTGATGAATTCTATACACTTCACAGTGAGTTCACTCAGTTGATGGAGTTGACTTTCGCTCCTTCTACAAAAGACGAAGGGGTCCTCTTCACGGTGGATGCTAAAGCCACCTCATCGAAAATTACAAAAATTTTCAGAAACCAGGAGACCTTTCATTTTTTTTTGTTTTTTTACCTTCTGTGTTGATGGGCTCCACCCAGCCTGGTCATTTGAATGGGTATCACCAATTTTGCACGAGAATCCAGTTATTCTTGTGCAAAAATTCAGCAGAAGGCGATGCATCAGAAATTAGCTGCATTTGATTATTCTCATGTCAGCCATGGTTGTCCAATCTCTTTGCATGCATGGATGGCTGACGTGGGTGGGACATTATAAATCTAACAGTTCCTGACATAAACAGTGCAGCTAATCTGGAATTGATTCAACCTGAGGAATTAGTTAGCTATAATTAACAAATTTGACGGTGGAGGAATATGCTCTTTTATGATTTTAAGTATAAGAATAGAATACAATAAAATGGAGTTTTATATTACACTTTGGTAGGGAATTCCCCTTGCTTCTTGCCCACAGAAGGGTGGTCTGATAATATTTGAAGTGATAGAACCGAATGACTTTATTGATTTTATATTACATTTTATCCATTATCAATCTGCACCTTGGGCTTGCATTCAATGATTTTGGGGGTAGGGCTACCCCTCACTTCTTTTAGCTAGGCCCTCCTATATCAGTCATTTATCAATCGGCCCCTTGGGTTTGCATCAATTATTTTTGGGGAAGGGCTAGCTCTCACTTCTATTGGCTAGTCCCTTCTTCCAAATCTGCCCAAAATCTGAGTAGATCTTTGTATGTGGATGGATGGAGACATGGACCCATGCCAACAGTGGTAAGAATGTTAATTTAGAATTTTGTTGTTTCAGCCATTTCAATCATTATCAATTGGCCCCTTAGGTTTGCATTCAATAATTTTGGGGGTAGGGCTACCCCTCATTTCTATTTGGCTAGTCTCTTCTCCCAATCCTACCCAAAAGGCTGAGTAGATCTTTGAATGTTAACAGAGGGAGACATGGATCCATACAAACTGTGGTAAGAATTTAAGAGAATGTTAATCGGGATTCTGTAGTTTCAACCATTTCAGTCATTATCAATCTGCTCCTTGAGTTTGTATTCAATTATTTTGGGGGTAGGGTTAGCCCTCACTTCTATTGGCTAGTCTCTTCTTCCGTTTCTACCCAAAAAGCTGAGTAGATCTTTGTATGTGAACGGATGGAGACATGGATCCATACCAACTGTGGAAGGAATACATGAGATTAATGTTAATTCAGAATTCTGTAGCTTCAGCCTTCAGCCGTTTCAATCATTATCAATCGGCCCCTTGGGTTTGCATTCAATTATTTTTGGGGAAGGGCTAGCTCTCACTTCTATTGGCTAGTCCCTTCTTCCAAATCTGCCCAAAAGCTGAGTAGATCTTTTTATGTGGATGGATGGAGACATGGAACATGCCAACAGTGGTAAGAATGTTAATTTAGAATTCTGTTGTTTCAGCCATTTCAATCATTATCAATTGGCCCCTTAGGTTTGCATTCAATAATTTTGGGGGTAGGGCTACCCCTCACTTCTATTTGGCTAGTCTCTTCTTCCAATCCTACCCAAAAGGCTGAGTAGATCTTTGTATGTTAACAGAGGGAGACATGGATCCATACCAACTGTGGTAAGAATTTAAGAGAATGTTAATCGGGATTCTGTAGTTTCAGCCATTTCAGTCATTATCAATCTGCTCCTTGAGTTTGTATTCAATTATTTTGGGGGTAGGGCTAACCCTCACTTCTATTGGCTAGTCTCTTCTTCCGGTTCTACCCAAAAAGCTGAGTAGATCTTTGTATGCGAACGGATAGAGACATGGATCCATACCAACTGTGGAAGGAATACATGAGATTAATGTTAATTCAGAATTCTGTAGCTTCAGAATTCAGCCGTTTCAATCATTATCAATCTACCCCTTGAGTTTGCATTCAATTATTTTTGGGGAAGGGCTAGCTCTCACTTCTATTGGCTAGTTCCTTCTTCCAAATCTGCCCAAAAGCTGAATAGATCTTTGTATGTGGATGGATGGAGACATGGAACATGCCAACAGTGGTAAGAATGTTAATTTAGAATTCTGTTGTTTCAGCCATTTCAATCATTATCAATTGGCCCCTTAGGTTTGCATTCAATAATTTTGGGAGTAGGGCTACCCCTCACTTCTATTTGGCTAGTCTCTTCTTCCAATCCTACCCAAAAGGCTGAGTAGATCTTTGTATGTTAACAGAGGGAGACATGGATCCATACCAACTGTGGTAAGAATTTAAGAGAATGTTAGTTCGGGATTCTGTAGTTTCAGCCATTTCAGTCATTATCAATCTGCTCCTTGAGTTTGTATTCCATTATTTTGGGGGTAGGGCTAGCCCTCACTTCTATTGGCTAGTCTTTTCTTCCGGTTCTACCCAAAAAGCTGAGTAGATCTTTGTATGTGAATGGATAGAGACATGAATCCATACCAACTGTGGTAAGAATACATGTGAATGTTAATTCAGAATTCTGTAGCTTCAGCCATTTCAATCATTATCAATCTGCCCCTTGGGTTTGCATTCAATTATTTTGGGGGGAGGGCTAGCCCTCACTTCCATTGTTTAGTCTCTTCTCTACTCAAAAAGTTGGGTAGATCTTTGTATGTGAACAGATGGGACATGGACCTAGGACTAGCAATCTTGACCCAACTCATTTGACCCACCCACCTTGGAACCCACCCATACTCACCCAATCTATTGGCGGGTCAATATGGGTTGAGTAACCCATTAGGGTCAACGGAAAAGGGTCAAGGTGGGTTGCGTCAAGGGTACTCATTAGGGTCAGGATGGGTTGGGTTGCGTGGGTCAAAATGGGTTGGGTCAAAGTTAGCTTTATCTATACTCGCCAAATCTCAAAAAGTCAACTTTGTCTACACCCAAGCCTCTTACTGCGTCCACATCTCATTATAAATCCAAACCATCATGACACATCTCATTTTGTGATTAAAAGTGAAATAAAATAGATTTTATTAACTTTCGTGTTTATATTCAATTTTACACGAAAGCACTTTTACAAAAGAAATTTTATAAAGTAATTTTGTGAAAAGGACTTTTACGAAAGCACTTTTACAAAATTACTTTTACACAAAAAGCACTTTTATAAAAGTACTTTACAAAAGCACTTTATGAAAGCATAAAATCACTTTTGTAAAAGTACTTTTACACGAAAGCACTTTTATGAAAGTACTTTTATGAAAACATAAAAGCAATTTTATAAAAGTACATTTATGAAAGCACTTTTACAAAAGTACTTTTACACGAAAGCACTTTATAAACGTACTTTTACAAAAACACTTTTATGAAAGCATAAAAACACTTTTATAAAAGTACTTTTACGAAAGTATTTTTATGAAAGTACTTCTGTGAAAGCACTTTTACGAAAACACTTATAAAAGTTCTGCAATTTTTCTTCTATTTTCTACATTTTCTGTAATTTTTTGGTATTTTCTGATTTTTTTTTTGCATTTTTCTTGTATTTTTATACACTTTCTAAAACTTTCTGGTATTTTCTGCATTTTTACAAATTTTTGGTTCTTTTCTACATAATTCTTGCTTTTTTTCTGGTTTTTTTCATACATTTCTTGCAATTTTCTGGTATTTTTGCATATTTTCCGATTTTTTCTATAAAAGTTTTGAATTTTCTATAATTTTTGGTATTTTCTGCATTTTTCATAATATTCTGGTATTTTTTGAATTTTCTACAATTTTTTGGTATTTTTTGCATTGTCTACTATTTTCCGCATTTATCTACAATTTTTGCATTTTCAAGTATATGGGTTGACTTGACTCGTTTTTGTCACGTGGTAGTTTTGAGAGAGATGATTCTCTAAAAAATGTTTTTTTTTTCCCGTATATACAGGTCAACCCAACCTATTTCTGTCATGTGGCAATCTTAAGAGATGATTTTCTCAAAAATGTTTTTTTTTTTGTATTTATAGGTAAGGGTAGGTGAGACGGTATGCGTTTGGGTGGTTAAGGGTCAATATGGATGAGTTAGGGTTAGAGTGGACCACCCTTTAATAAGGATTGATGATGGGTCATGGTAGGTTGGTTGGTCAATATGGGTGCGTTGGTATTCAACCCTTACCCAACCCAACCCAACCGAACCCACCCATTTGCCTCCCCTACATGGATCCGTACCAATTGTGGTAAGAATGCATGAGAATATTAATTTAGAATTCTAGAATTCTATAGTTTCAGCCATTTCAGTCATTATCAATCTGCCCCCGGGCTTGCGTTCAATGATTGATTTTGGGAATAAGGGTTATCCCTAGTATATTCTTCCAAATCTACCCAAAAAGATGGGTAGGTCTTTGTATGTGTGAACAGATGGGAACATGGACACATACCAACTGTGGTAAGAATGCATGGGAATGCTAATTTAGAATTCTGTAGTTTCAACCAAAAAGCTGGGTAGATATAAATTTTAATAATCTAACAAAGATCATGATAAAAAAAATAAAGGTTAAGGCTACTGATTCAATTGTTTTTTGTTTCAACTTGATCTCAATTCAATTTTGATTTTCATTTAGGGTCCCTTTGATTTACAATTGGAATCATAATCAAAATGGTCTATTCCCATAGTTTGTTTGGTTCAGACAGGAATTGAAATAGAATTTGGAATAAATTGAAATGGGATTTCATTCCTAAGGGAGAGGGAGGGTATAGCAATTTCCCTCAAATAGGAAAATGTCATTCCACCAGGAATGAAAACAAAATTCCAATTCTGCTCAACCAAATTGCCCATTCAATTTCGACTCTTGACCTCTATTCCCACGAACCAAATGGGACCTTAATTAATTACCTAGGTGATTTTAAACAAGAAAGGTTATCTGAACTTGCTTCTTACTTTCTTAGGTTTTTAGGTGTTGATGATAGCCGCTTTTGTAGTAATGCGGTCTGCTGATTCGCTCTATTCCCCAAAATATAAATGTATTGTCTTCTACAGAACGCCACTACCCATATAGTATTATTAGTTTCATGAACGGATCATTTAAAATAGCCAAGACAAAGAAAGAAAAATGTCTTTTTCTAGACTTCTACCACATGTAAAATTAATGGCTGGTTGGCTGAAACTTGCTCCATGGAGAAATGGACCAAGGGTGCAGAAATGGAATACGTCTATTCCTTTTAAGCTGTATGCTATTAATGTCACATTTCTTGACAGTCTGTTTGGTTGCTGAGAAGGGAAAATTTATTTTTTCATTTTGGTATTTTGGTGTTTAATTGCTGAGAAGGGAAAATTATTGTTCATCGTCTTCCTTCAAACTCAAACCAGTGGCGTGGACAAGGTGAGTTCCAATCTCCCCTCATCTCTCTCTTTTCTTTTCCTCCTCTCCCTCTTTCTTTTTTTTTTCTTCTTCTTTTTCTTCTCTTGCCACTGCTACTTAAATCAGCAACTGTGAGCGTGAATGAAAAGAAGATAACAAAT